ATGCTTATCTGAAAGTGGACTGTAAAAGCTGTGGAAGGTGGTGTTCATCACGTGGTTTGATGGACCTCAGCAAAGCTGGTGCCCTCTCCTCACCCCCTCCCAGCAAACTGAACAGTGGACCCCAAAACCTCTCTCAGCTCTCGTGACAGAGGCGTGGGAAGCAGGCTTTTTTAGGAATAGTATGTTTTGCTTCGATATAAAAATACTTGTGCTCCAGATACAGATTTGATCCTAAGCGCAGGGGCTGTGCGCAGTGAGAAAAAAAAAACTATTGCATCGGGTGAAAATCTTGTAGTAAAACTGTATTTGGTGCTTTGCTGTTGAGATTTCTGGTCATTTGAAGTCACTTGAGGGGGGCGATAGTCTAAAGAGCCACATGCAAAGGCACAGACTTCCTAGCTGAGTAAAGGGCTGGGGTTTTTTTAGGACTCTTGAGTTTCCAACCTGTCTAAAATGGTCCCACGTTGGGATTGGGACTGTTTATGGGGTTGGGACTATTTATGGGGTTGGGACTATTTATCTGGGCAGCTTCTTATGGTAGAAGTCTGAGGGTGGTTTCAGGAGCTGGGGGTGGCTGGAAGTTGCTCGGCCATGGCTTCACAACACCATGAGGGCAATGAGGGCTTGGTTTGGTTTGGTGTGGAAGGGAGGGAGGAGGCTTTGAAGCCACCACCTCATCACCGCCATGGTGGGTGCCAAGCGGCTCTCCAGAAGACACCCATTATGGCCAACAAAGGTTTATGGTGGCTCACCCGGGCCAAAGAGAGTGTTACCCACTGGAGGAGCCGCTGTTGAACCCCTTTTGCTGCTTCTGCCTCCCGATTTTTTTTGGGGAGGGGAAGGGAAGTTGTAGGAGGCACCAGGCGGAGAAGGAGGAAGGCAGGGAGAGGCCCGACCCATTCAGTGGGGCTGAATGCGATAAATGCCCGCTTTTATCCTTTCTTGAAAGGAAGAAGATAGCGCCGGGCTAAATGCCTGGGTGTGCTTAAATAGGCAACTCTGGGACCCCGGGAGTGGAGGGCGTTTGAAATCGGAGCCGCCCAACGGCCTGGGGGGAGCTGCCACAGGTCACCTGCCTCGCTCCATGGGGACCGGCCCAGGCCTAGCAAGAAATCGTCCATCCGCGGATGAATTGTAGTACAAATTCTTTTCTTTGTGGCTTGTGGCCTCTTTGGATAGACCCGTGCCCTATCTGTTTTAAAAAAAAAAAAAAATTAAAAAAATTGTGTAAAAAGAATTCTTAAATCTTATTGGAAAGGGCAAAGGGCCACGCGGAAAGGTTTGACAGGTTGACATATGGCGCCTGGTTTTGCGGGCGTGTGGGGCCTGGGCTCTCCTCCTGCTCCTCGCAGGCTCTGTCGTCTTTTTTATTTTTTATTTTTTATTTTATTTCTTAAATAGCATCTTAGTTGCTGTGCAGAGTCGCTGCGCTCCCAGCGATTTGACAGGCAAGGAGCCTGCTTCAGTGCTCTTAAATCCTTTTAGACTAATTTGCGAGCGAGCAGAAAAACAGCTCACACCTTCGGATCCAGCCCTCGGAACCAGGGGGATCAGGTATTGCCAATTAAAGCGCTGTTTCCCAGCCTCGTACCCAGACAGATTACTCCCGATTCCCCTGATCGTGTCAGGCTGGCCCTAAAGAGAAAGCCCAGCCGGAGTTTCCCCTGGACAAAGGGATCCGCGTGGACCGAAGTCCTTGGGTGACGGAGGGAGCAGGATGATGATGGAGACGGTGCAATATGGGTGGCATAAAGGCCAGCGGTGCGTCCCGCTCTCCGGCCCCCGACCCTCCCCACATAGCCACGGGGCCATTTCGAAGAGCCTCTGGCCCCTCAAGTCACTGGCCTCCTAGTTAATTGCCACACGGGCTTGGTGACACACGGGCAGATAATATGACATTTTCGCTTTCTGTCACTAGCAAACGCCACGGCGTTGCTTGCACTAGTTGCTAAGAAGCTGTCAGAAGCCATTAGCAGCTGGCGAAAGTTGCCCGATGGCATTTCCTCATGGCATCAGCAAAACAAGCATAAATCACCCAGCGGAGCCTCCCCGCTATACTAATGAGGCTGTAAGCTTGTTTATGGACTAGCATCATTTCTATGATTATTTCCACCTTTTCAGTTCGCCTTCATTTTGGCGGCGGGAGAAGTCAACTTCAGGAAGGGAGCCGCTGGCTGACGTCGGGCAAAACCGCGGTTCGTAGCTGCTACCGTGTGGCTGCTCGGCGGCGCTTCAAGTTTTGTTTAGTCCTCTTTAAAAAGGGGAAGAAGGAAGAGAGCAGGGAAGGGGGGGAGAGAGGAAAAAAAAATTAAAAAAAATAAAAAAGGAGCAGGGGAGAAAGTGTGGGGGGGTGAATCTCTGGAGACCCCACAGAGGTGAGCGGATCGGGTTGCAAAGTAGATGGAAATACTAAAATCCACAATTGAGCGTTTAGACGTCTCGCTGTGGTTTCGGTCTTTACGGGATCAATTTTCCAGCTTAAAAAAAAAAATAATAAAAAAAAATACGTGCGGAAGAGGTTAAACAATTTATAAAAATCTAGCGAAGCGTTTGCTCTTAGGATAGACAGGCGCTTTCTTATCCTCTCCCTGCCTTTCACTTTCTCTAACTTGTGTCGGATGGGGCCAGGGTTTATTGTTTTAGGCTTTTCTGAACATGCACCAGTATTTACACTGGATTGAAAGCATTTGCTTCCAATGAAAATCTTGTCTTAGATTACAGCCCAGCAGTGTAATTTCCCTCCCAGATGGGAGTAAAGTAGCAGTATTTGCCTAAAAACAGTAGGAAGAACAAACTGTGCATTAAGCCAAGGCTGTTTTTGGCTTGAGCTAATGATGTAACAGAAACCTTTTATTTGGGATAGGTCACCGCCAGGGATTGAAGGAGGTGATCTGGCTCGCGCTTGAAAGGTTTCTCCATTGTATCTACATAAGTCTTCACTTAAAAAATCCTGTTCCTAATGCTTCTGCTTTCATAGAGCAGAAATAAACAGGAAAGGTTCTGGGGAGTGTTATAGGTGGAATGCAGAAAGCTTTTCCTCCCCTAATGGAGGATATAATTCAGGTGCCCCGGAGGCATGCTTTCAGGAATTCTCTTGCCCGAGGTAATGGGAAGCTAAGGCTGCTTGAAGGCCTTGATTATCTATTGATGCACAAAGCTGGAAAAAAAGTCATCTCCCTTGGATTATAGTAGATATTTCCATAAATTATCAATGAGTCCTCCTCCCGTCAGGCAGGAGGCGATGCCTGCTAAATTAATCTGAAGGGGGTTTGAAATGAAGAGAGAGTGTATTTAAAAAAAAAAAAAAAGAGGGGGGGAAGGACGACGGAGAGGGTGGGTGGACGATGGCAGGGAGGTGGTGAAAGGCAGTGTCATTAGGTTAGAAGCTTTTCATTTTTAATCGATGAATGCGTAATACTTTTCTTTTTCCTTGTTTGCCTCTCGCAGACAGAAAGTGGATTAGCCCGTGGAATTTTAAATGCTGTTGAGTTGTTTCCTTTGCTCATGTTTCTTTTATGAATTATTATTTTATATGGTGAATTGCTTCTCTGTATAAAAGCCCTTTTTTACATATTGGGCTTTCAAAGAATTTGTCGGATATCTGATTTCTTCAAAAAAATGTTGTTTGTTTCTATAACCACCCAAGGTTACCATTTCATTAAAGACACAGGCCAAGTCATAAGGACAATTATAAATTTGCCACGGTCAGTAGGGTACTAAAAATATAGCACTAATAATAACTTTTTTTTTTTGGTGCTGAAAGCTGCTTAACAAATCATAATTTTGACAGTCTGCATCCTTTTTTTTTTTTTTTTTACAAAAAAAAAAATTTTTATTTTTATCCTAACAGAGGTAGTTTTGATTCAGCCCAATTCAGATGACTTTCTTGATCATTCTTGCCCAGGGGGTGTTAAAAAAAACACTTGCCTAATAACGTCACAACTCCACGGTGCTACAAATGCCGTGTCCTTGGGAAGCCGGGATCCACCGTTCAGTCCACATGCAGGGAATGCAAAGGCTGATTTGTTCATGGGCTTGTTTATAAACTGCTTTCAGGGCTTGAAACCAAAAATTGCATGCAAACTTTTGTTTTCCTTCAACCGGCAGCCCAAGGTGGCTGCTACGCAGTGGTGTCCTCCCGTAGATATGTTGTTAAAGTGATGAGAACTGCCCGAGACCTTCTCTGCGTTAAGGAAATTCAATTCTGGATCAGTTGTTGTTTAACGGGAGCAGACACCTATGACTGCAGTGGCACACCAGCACAAAGCCGGGTGTTAATTCCTAGGGTGTATGTCAAATTGGGACCTACTTATCCCAGTATGAATTTCTTTCAGCTGGGGCTGGGAAGAGGGGAGGCCAGTTAGCTACCCACCTCCCATCCAAAAGTCAGGGCGAGTCAGACATCTCTAAAAGACTTAATATAAGCAATGCCCCAATCCTCAGGGTGTTTGGGAATCTGGGGAGAGAATATGATGTTGCAAGAGAGCTGCATTCACCCCGCTTTCTTGCATCTCCGGGTGGGATGGGGCACCCAGCTTCACACACGTCGTAGGGATGGGACACCATCGATACTTTCCTAATTGCCATCTCTGCCAAAGTAGCTGATTGGGATGAATTTATTTTTTTTTTTTTTTAGAAAGTGACCTAGCGTGGAGAAAAGCCACCATTTCCACCTTTGCAAGCTGGATGCTTGCCAAAAAAAAAATATTTATTTTTATTTTTTTTTTAAAGCACTTTTTGTTTTGGGTTATGGTGCTGAGTCCAGTGGCAGAAATGGTCACGCTGTCCTTCAGGTTAAACCAGAATGGGGCCGACACAGTCCTGAGACCCTTCCTCTCTCCATGTCTCTCCCCTTCCCCATCCCCTCAACCCCTGATGAATTACGGTGTTAAAGAATTTATACCTCATTTAAATATTCATGCAGTTTATACCCAAAGCCAGGCTTCGGCTGAAGTATCTGAAGGTAGCATAAGTCAAAATTTGATTCACTATATTTACAGGTGACGGCTTGGACAACAGTGTAGCTTCCCCCAGCACAGGTGATGATGATGATCCAGATAAGGACAAAAAGCGACATAAAAAGCGTGGCATCTTTCCCAAAGTAGCCACAAATATCATGAGGGCATGGCTGTTCCAGCATCTAACAGTAAGTGAACTCTAGATCACATATGCAAAATAAAACATGGAAAAATGTCATAGTTGTAGTAGTCATAGAAAGCAAATAAAAAAAACCAAAAAAAGTATGATGTTACTGACAGGCAGCTCAGGGAACTTTTCTGAGCAGAGTTGTTGTTGTTGCCTCATTTTCTAGATGCCAGGGGAAGAGCACGGAGTGTATGTTTTTATGGTTTTGGGGGAGTTTTTTGTGTGTTTGTTGGGTTTAGAGATTTTTTTTTTTTTTCTATTTTATTTTTTTTCGGTTCGAGTCTCAGTTGTTAACAGGCCGTCACCTCAAAAGTGTGACTGAGCTTATCCTAAGAACCCTGGAGACCTGTCCTGCCCTGCTGCAGCTCCCCTTGGCCGAGGTGGGAACGGCTGCTCCCGAGCGGAGACCCACGCTCGGCCCCCGGGGTTCTCCTGCTCCGGAGGACCGCGCGAAATAACTGGGGAGATTAAAAACAAAGCCAAAAGCCAACAAAGACCCCATTCACATGTTTTGTCAGAGATCATCCCCAAGCTTCGCGATGAAAGCTCTGGATGTATCTGGTTTAATAGCAAAGTATGATTTTTTTTTTTTTTTTTTTTTTTTTTTTTTTTTTTTTGCTTTGAGACGTTCTCATTCCCAGAGTGTAAGTTACCCCTGTATTTAATGTTATAAAGGGGTGGGGGGGATGCGCAGCTATTTCTGTTGCCACAGCTACCTGTATTTTTCTTTTTGGGATTAGAAATCAAAGCTCTGGACAGGTGTGGGGGGGTCAAGCTGGATATTGGAGCTTCTTTCAAGGCTTTACGTTGTGTACCACACCTTCTGATGGAAAAAAACCCACATTTCTAATGCCATTTCTCCTTTTTCATCGAGTTGTGGTGATCTGTCCCGGTGGGGAGGTGGGCCCTCAAGCCCCCAGGTTTTCTGGCTGAGCTTTTCTGGGCCAGGAGGATGGAGGGGTCGGGCGAGGGATGCCTGGGAGGGGAATGATGGGGGGAATGTTCTGCAGGAGGTTAGTGAAGAAGGGTTGTCTCCTCTAATCCCAGCAGTTGACTCTCTCCCCTGCCCGTCGTTAGGGTCAGGGTGAAACCAGAAGCCATCCAGCTTGCCCAGCCCCGGTGGGAGCCCTGCCAAGAGTATATGCTCGTAAACCGGAGGAAGCGCTCAGGCACATCACCCCTCCGTGTGTGTGTGTGTGTCCCACCCCACTGAGCCAAGAAACCAGATATCTGCCGTGACTCTTGTCAGCACGGGGATCAGGCAGGGAATCCTGCCCTGCTCGGGCCTGCGTGGCTATGAATGAACCTTCCTGCTGGAGCACTCCTCCTCCTCCTCAGCCGGAGAGGATATCTCCCAAGTTAATCCCCTCTCTCTCTGGCAGGCTCTAGCTCAGCCGTGCCCCAGCTTTGCCAGCTCCTTAACCCTGTCCCGGGTATGGTTCAATGCCTCGCTTCCCTGAGGTCCCTTTTGGTTTTGGTGGCTCCCCAGTTCTAGGTCCTCACCCAAGATGAGTTGACGGCAGGTGTCCCTCAGCAGGTAGATGTGAGGTTAAGGACATCTGCCTCCCAGAGGGTCCGGGGATGCTGTGCCAGCAGTCATGCTGGCACCATTCTGACGCAGCTGGTTTAGGTTCTGGTTTGAGGAGATGCCCTGGCATCTCTGTAGGCAGGACAAGGCACACCAGGGGACACTGAGCAACTGCATGTCAGTCCCAATAGCTCCTAGCTGAGGCATCTTTATTATTATTAATAGTATTTTTTTCCTGGAAGTGGCCTGTTGCTGTGTTTGTGCTAGTAAATTAAACATCACCCAGGCCTGGCACGGGAACGTGGTGGTCTACCCTGTTAAACTTCTTGAGCGGCCTCCAGATGCTCTTAGCTTGGGCCACCTACCACCACCTTCCAAGTCCATTCCTGGGAGCACAGCAGAAGATAGCAGGGGTGACTCCTCATGGCAGGAGCCACCCTGTGTTGAGCGTGTGGCTACGTGGGCTTGACCTGACCCTGCAGCTGGACCATTCTGACCCTGGTCCATTCTTGGGACCAGAGAATGGACCCTGTCACCACTTTGTCTAGATGAGGTGTAGGGTGCAAGCGGCTTTTCACTCTTCTTCTGTGCAGTAATGGTGTGCAAAAGAGAAGGTGAGAGTGCCTGTGGAGCTTGCTGCAGTGCTGATAGCTTCCCCTGGGAGACAACATCTGGAAATCTGCTTATAAGACAGAGTCTTCTTCTGGAGTGGGTCTACCTAGAGCAGGTTGCACAGGATCTTGTCCAGGCGGTTTTTGAATGTCTCCAGAGAAGGAGACTCTGGAGAAGAAGTCCTCTCTGCAAGAAACCCCAGGCCCAAACCATGGCTGCCACCATAGCTGAGGGGTAGCTGGGTGAGAGACCGAAGGCGTTAAGCCTCCAGTTCATTTTTGAGAGTGTCTGGGCCTCATGGTTGCTCTTAGAACCCTATGCATGGGCAGTGTCCCCATCAGGGCTCCTCGCTGAGGAGCGGTCCGCTGAGGAAACTAAGAGAGCCCTTTTTATTTATTTTACTTATTTATTCATTATTAGTGAATTTGGTCTTCCCTAGGGTAGACGTGAGGTCCTCCCTAAGACGGGAGGTGAGGAGAGAGAAGGAGATGGTCCTGTTCAGGCAGGGAACCCGGTGAGACATACCTCCCTTTTGCCTCAAGCCCTTATCCTGCCTTCACTTTCCTATCCGGAAAGATGGGAAGGGAAGAAACCAGCAGTGATTCAGTGCAAAATCCAGCATCCCCTTGAGCGATGGTGCTTCCAAATTGGGGTGTTAGTTGGGAGCCCTCCTTTTCAAAGGCAAATTATGTTTTTTTTTCCTTACAATTGTAATATTAATACACATCAGTGGCAGGGAATGAAGCAAAATAGACAGTAATTGCTGTGTCTGTCATACTAATGATTAATGGTTGGAAAGACTTAAAATAAATGTTGGACTAATATAATATTTTAAAAGTCTATAGGCTGGTTTAATTCCTTCTATGCAGTTCTTCCATCTCCAAGAGTCTCCAAGGAAGTATTCCTCTGGTGACTGACTTAATTTCCTAAAGTTGGTCCCTTAGTTCTCGTTTCTCACTTGGGAGGAAATTCTTTTTTTCCTTATTGAAGAAAAGAAAAGAAAAAAATAATCAAATGCAAGGCCATAGGCTCTCTGGTTGCTGAAGTGTTTGGGCAATAGTTCCCACTCAGTGTCGCACTGCAGGCCCCCCCACCCCGTGTTATTTTGACTGATGTGCAGAACCGAGTTGATGTATGCCCAAAGGGTAGGCAAGCACTGTCCTCTGCGGAGGCAGGCAGTATGCTCTGAAACACTTCAGGGGATAAATTCATCCCAATTGCCCTTTTTTTTTCTTTTTTCTTTTTTTTTCCTTAGAATAATAACAACAAAAATCAGCTAAAACAATAGGAAAAGCTGTGATCGGCTTTACACTTGGGACTTTGCAGGATTTGTTTTTTATTATTTGCTGTTCTGACTTAATTTTGACTACATGTCTAAGTTGGAAGAACTGCCCAGGTTGGCTTTTAGTTGGGCAAAATGTAGGCTGTGGAGCTTGGTAAAATTTTGGATGGTAGATTATGACAGCAGCCTGTACATTTTGAGGTTTGTGAAATCTGTTTTCAGGCTTCTGCTCTAAATTTGAGGTGGAAGGAATGCTCTGTTACTATTTGGAAACGATAAATAAAAAAAAATAATAAATAAGGCTGCTAATAGTTTGGTGAAGAGGTGAGGACATCCCCAAGCTTTAAAAACTGAGTCAAAAATGATGGGAGGCTTGTGGGGTGGCATCAGATGAACATCAAATGCCATGGCAGGGTCTCCAGGAGGGACTGGGGCCAACCAGTCCTGTGTTGGAGCTGGGCTCCAGAAAGTTGCCCTAAGGATAATTTCAGGGTGTGCTGCAGCACGACAACGTTTTACAGGCCCTCTTATTTTATTTTATTTTTTCTTACTATTTTTTGGATCACTTAACATTTGGGGATCAGACCTCACCACCATTTTTCAAGCAGTTCTCCTTGCTGTACGGCAGGGACTGAAAAATAAGGGAAAAGCTTGGAGGCAGGGAAGGGGAAAAAATATAATCTTGGCTACTACCAGATCTCTGTAAATTAAATTGTGGCAACAGGATTAGTTTCTGCTTCAACCCATACGATGTTTTTGTCCCAGCAATGGTACTTTTTGGTTCAAAACTAAATGAAGGGAGTTTGCGGGCGGTGGGGTGTCTTTGTTCGCTCATTGTGAATTCTCAGCGTCCTTTAAATCCAGCTTAATTTAAAATGTTGAGATTCAAACCTCATTTTGGGGATTATACGATGTAATTGGTTTGTTATATGATGAGTATTTGATGATCTTCACGTTCATCATCTAATCAGGCAAAAAAAAGCCATAAAGTTATAATCCCAAAAGATGTTTAATAACAATTTAAACTATTGAAGGCTTTATTTAAGCACATTAGGGGATTATAAACTACTTATTTTTTTTTTAATGGTGCCAAGAGGTAGATTCAAGGACTTCAAACACCTTTTAAAAAACAAATTGCCATGATTTAAAAAAATGAATGGGCCAAGGATTTCTTTCATGTAAATCCCATAATTTAATCATTATTTTTAACTGCTTTTAAAACAAGTTCCTTAAGAGGTTAAATGTTACTGAAATGGGAGACTGAGCAGAAAATAAAAGCCGTAGCTGAAAGACGTTGACTTCACAGTAAAAGTGAAAGGCTTTTTTCTATTATGTATCTGGATTTTGAATCTTTATTCATTGCTTGATGAATTTGTTTGGATACAGGCATTTGAAGGAGGGACTGATCTAGCTGAGAAAAAATAGTCCTCATTGCTTCCAGGATGTTTTTCTGATAGAAAAATAGCATTACGCCACTTAATTCTAGTAAGTTTTGTTTATGTATGAATATCTTAAAGACTAGCAACTTTTTAAGGTTAAAGCGAGTGGATTTCAGGTTGTCTTTCCATCTGTCTGTCGT